ACCGCTACGCCGATCGCATACAAATACACGTCGACTTTGATGAGTACTTACGGCCGTCGAAGTCCCAGACGATCCGCGAGTTTGTCTCGTCGCCCGACATCACTGGTTGGTCGGCTCTGGTTGTGCCCACCGTTATATTCTGCACCGAATACAGCCGTCTGCTCGCCGATGATAACGATTATGGCCGCAGTGGTGGCCACTCTTCCGACCCGTTGCTCACCTCCAACTTCAACCGCCAGAAGACTGTATGGCCGCACGAAATACGGTCCAAAGTGGTGGTCATGAAACCCAAACTCGTCTCTCAAATGGGTATTCATAACGTGTGGAAACTCTTTCACCGCAAACACACCGCCGATCCCATATTGAACGTGCCATCCGATCAACTCCTTGTCCACCACTACCGCCGTTGTTGTCATTTAATACAACCCTATTTTTTTAATCTCATTTATTTCAATACAATCAACGATATTATCGTTAAAGACGAGTCAATGAAGAAGTTTATACACCCGATCATGAATTTCATTAATGAATACATTAGCGTTAGTTAACCACCGATGAAGATAATTGAACACTGCTTTGTTCGCACATTTGATTTATTTTGCATTTACTGCACAATTTAATTATGTATTTTATTATTTACTATAATTATATTTATTTTGTTGTTAATAAATGGTTATTATTTATTTACAAACCAAATAATTAATAAATTTTTACCAATTTCTGTCATTGTTTTTGAATTTAGACGATTGCTGTGAACATTGGGTTAAATATTTGTGTTTTTATACAATTAATAATTATAATAATGCAATTAATATTCATTTTATGCACGATTTTAATTTTGTTTTGTATTAATATGTTATTAATGTTGATTATTTATATGTAAATATTTGTTGTTAGCAATTGTGTCACAAATGTAATTGAAATGTTAATCCAATGGACGAGCGATTGGGGAATGAGGGTTAATTATATCCTAGACTAATCTCGATCTAATTATTAATACCGTAAGAAATTGTGTTACGTTTTGGCATTTAATGGCATTTAATTATTTGCCAAAAAATGTTTTTTATATAAATAGTATAATAAAAATACGACAAATATTTTAATTAAAAGATTATTCAATTATTTAATGTGTAATTTCGGAGATTAGATAAGACAACACATGTTTTATCCAAAAATATCTACATTTAATTGTTGTGATATAAGAAGGAGTAATTGATTTAATAGCAAAACGTAATTTTTAATTTATAAATTTAATGAAAATATAAAATATTACTCAATTATTGTGAATTTTAATTAATTTAGAATTTTACGTCAAATATAAACAGTGAATAAAAATAAAAATTAATGAGACCTTAGAAATAGAAAATCAATAATTTATAACAATTTTTATTATAAATTAGTATTTTTAGACGTTTTGAAAATTTAATTCAAAACTTCTTTATAATAATAATTGATTGGTTTTCTCGACTTATAAAATATAATCATTGAATTTAATTACTATTAAAGAAACTGTTTTATATATTTCGTAAAATCAATAAATTTATACTTATATTAAATGTGTTTTAATGTAATGATGATTTTTTAGATGGCATTAAATTTTTAAATAACTTTTAAATAGAAATAAATAAAGTTTATTACAAATATTCCCATGCAATGCAAATATAGATTTTAATTTTCATTGAAATTTAATATTGTTTTTATAAAAAATTTAATTTTATATATTTAAATATTAAGTTAATTTAAATATTTAAGTAATAATTTATTAGATTTATGATAAATTACTTTTTGCAATATTTTTTTACTTAAAATTTTATCTTAACAATTATATTGACAATATATTGTGTATTGAATTGTTATTAAATTAACTTTTAATTATCTAATGTTTTGATATAATTACAGATTTTATAGTTTTAGTTTTATTATAATTTAGTACTTTTGATAAAAGTGCAAAAATTTTACAATAACTGATATTTGAATAATAAGTATCAAACGACTTATTATTCAAATTAATGGCACAAAAAAATAGCAAAAATTTCTCAATAAAATACGAGGAAATCATTACTCATTTGAATAAAAAACTTTTAATTGATTTTATAATCAAGAATATCCAAAATTAATGACAATCATTATACACTTCAACAAAACTAATAAAACAATAAAAATGTGTTATTTATTCATAAAATTGAAGAATATATGATTATCAATATTAAAATATAAACATCGGGTTAAATATAGCGTATATATCATAGTAACGTCATAGACTGGGTTGTCATCGTCCCTGACCACCCCTGACCCTGACCACCATCATTGCATTGCCGTTTGCCAGCAAACAGTTTTTACCTTATTATTTATTGACTGAGCCCTAAATGTATAAGTATTGTAAAAATTTGTTGCTTTTTATAATATTTTTTCGCAAATAATTACCTTTTGCTTTGTTTAAAATTCAGGCACCGATTATTCGCATGCAGTTATTTTGAGTAAATATATGCATCCCATTCCCCGCCCAACCCTTTTGTATTTGATATTCTCAGTCAGTAATGGATAATAAAATAAAAAAGTACTGAATTTTGTATTTTAATGCCAAACTATGGCCACAATGGCATACATTTCAATAAATTGTATTTTTTACTTTTATTGTTATCTCATATATTATACTGTGTATTGAAATATAATTAATACAACTATAGTTAACATTCAAATTATAGTCACATAGGATTAAGTGAAATATTTTTTATTGTAATCGTTTGGGAATATTAAATGTTTTCTTCTAATTCCTTAAGAATAACAAATAAAAGAGTAGAAAAAATATTAAAATTTATTAGAAAAATGTGTCATATTTTTTCTTAAACACTACTCCAGTGGGAAAAATGCTTTTAAAATGCTTTTAATATTGATTTGTTATTTGTATTAATACGATAACCCATATATAATGCTCTCTAAATCGTATTAACGATAATTTAAATATCAATAGTTGTCTTACATTTTTTTTAAGTGATCGATCTCTGAATACATAATATTTTAATAAATAAACAAATAAATTGAGACTCAAATGAACTCAAACTCCATAATAAAAAACAACGTTTGGGAGAATTAATGCCAATAATTTAAAAACACTTTAAAAATTATAATTAAAACCAAATCAATCAGATTTTAGAGATTAATTAAAAATATATTTAAACTTTATAGTGAACCAGCATAGAATTTATACACAGTATATTTATATAAATATTGGTTAAATGTCTTATAATATACTAAATATATAATAAAATATAATTATATAACACATGCCATTACACTCTAGGCTAAAAATATTAAAGAATATTTTGAATATTATTGATTTAATTTAATTGATAAGAAAAATATTTATATGATTTATAATTATAGCTTATAATTACAAAAGTGTGAAGTAATAACCGACTAAACGATGTGTATCTGACACTGAACTCTATCTGATCCGCGATTTTATCCCAACAAACATATCATAATCACAATTAAGATCTTTGATTAAAAATGCAAATCTTTACTATAATAACAATAAATAACATTTTATCCAATGCTTGCTTAATATGTAATACTGTTTGCGTCTGTAATACAGTTAAGGGTTACACAAGAAGGATATGCTTTCGGTTAAGTATTTAATACGATAAGAAAAATGCATTAATAATAACATTAATATTTGATTTATAAACTCAATTCATTTGATAATAAAGTAGTGAACTATTTTCACACATAAAGACAATGATTAATACCTTGTAATACATTTGACTATTCAATCAATTTTGCACTCAATTCTTCACTATAGAGATCCAGAGAAAAGACTTCTCAGTTCGCAAAAGTACATATACTTAACGCTATAACTCCTACTCTTTGCTACTGTTATTACAATTGATTGTAATTTTGTAATAAATATGTTAAAATTGAAAACTTAATTTATGCTGATATGCCAAACGTAAGCCTCAATTATATTATTATTGCATGCAATGAACTCATAGAGACATACAGAGAGAAAGTGCATGATATAAAATAAAATACACACAAAAAACGCACATAATATACATGTAATTATACATATAATTTAAATGTAAAACTTTTTATTCACATCAAATTTAAATAAAACTTAGCAATAAATCCAGTATTTCGTATAAATATATTAAGTTGTATATAATTTAATATTAATGGGTGTGGCAAGAATTGGGGATTTGACCACAACCTGCGCCGTGACTTTCATTATTATTATCATCATCGGAATAGTCCTGAAGGTCTACCACTTCTACATTTTCATCCATTAAATTGATATCCATTTGCTCTCTCTTCTGGCAAAGAAGAGTTTCCAATTGTTTGAGGCCTTCTTCGGGGAGGAAGTTATTTTCGGGAAACTTAACGTTAAATTCGATGTAAAGATTTCCCCTTTCGTGTGGACTCGAATAGATAGGCATTCCTTCGCCGCGAACGCCTTTCACCGCTTTGGGAGTCAATACATCGCCGGGTTTACTGGCGAACCGGATATGCCTTCCGTCCAAATGCTGTAAATCGCCCGCAAAACCACACAACGCCTCAGTCATAGAGATGTCCTGCGAGTAAAACAAATCATTTCCAATTCGTTTAAACCTATCGTTAGATCTCTGGTCGAGAATAACGACGACATTGCCGGCCTCTTTATCCATCTCACGATTGCCTTCCCCTTTCAAAGTGATCTTTTGCTTATCTGCCATACCTTTCCTTATGACCACTTTTGCGATCTTTGTCTCTTCGGTCACACCATTGCCGGCACATAACGGACACCAGTCCTCCTGATTGAAGAACAATCCCTTACCACTGCATCGCTCGCATGTCGTTTGCAGGAATGGATGTCCTATAAAACCCAGACCTCTACAGTCCCGACACCTCTGTTGGCATTCAGGGTCTCCTCCAATGCCATTGCATTCATTGCACGCGATTTTGCGGTCAATTTTCAATTCGCAGTCTTTCCCGTTATAGAGGTCTTCGAGCGATACCTTTAAACGATGTCTCGTATTTTCGCTTCGTTGCCTTCGGCCAGAGTGTGAAAACAAGGGCTCATTACCTATCGTTTAAATATCATATTATTAATAAATACTAAATCAACCAATATTGTCCATATTTTCAATACCGCCGTTAAGTACAATGAAAGGCATCATCGCTTAAAGTGATCCTAAAAAATAATTTATAATTTCGATCCTTTGTCTCAATTAATTAACAAAAAAATTGACTTTTTGTGTTAAGCTATTGGGTGTTTAATAAAGGTTTAGGAAAAATGTTGGCATTTATTCAGATTCTCCTTTATTAATAAGAAAATTGTAGATTGTGTACAACAAATTGAATGTATTTATTAAAATCTTGTGAAAAATGAATACACAATATAAATAATTTGTCAACTTGTAAACGATTTTTATAATGTTACTAACTATAAAGTTGCTGTACTTTATTCACAAATCTAAAAATTTTACGCATCAGGTTTACAATTAATTTTATAAATCTAGCTACTTGTGAATACAGTGGAATTATACTGTACAGTGTATAATAATAATTATATAAGGTTATATAATATTTTGGTAGATTTGTTTTCACGGGTCGACTCAATGCATGTATTTTTCATACATTTATTTATTAGTAATTTATTCAAAAATAATATTATTGAATGTAATTGTAATACTTTTTTGGTAAATAATACATGTATTAAATGGCATTTATAGTCATCTAAATAATTGGATTTTTTACGGTATTATGCTATGGATTGAGTGTACAAATCGGCAACAATTTTCTTAATACAAAACTCTAAACTGTTTCTAATTTATTGAATTATAAACACATAAATAATTTACACTCAGTTTCCGATCAATTCAATTGTTTTAGTTTTATGGGAAACTATTGAATACGAATTCATCATTTAA